CTCTAAAAAAATGCCCTAAAGTTGAAAAACCGTTGACTAAGAACAGCACAAAAAAATGATTTTCAATTTATTTCTAAGTATATTTCTTAATTATCTTTTGCATTTCTTATTGATTTCAGTACCCCAGCTGATCTATGTAAAGAATTCAAATTTCATGTTTTTAGGCTTTTGGTCCTCAGTGGAGTTCCTTTAGCAATATTTTTTAGTGTCCTTCCTCTGCCACAGCGGATTCAGATGTTTTGTGTAAAGATGTTAACATTTATTAGTTTGAAAAAAGTAGCCATTGGCAAAATATTAAGAAAAAACAACTGTGTGGAATTTTACTGTAAGTATATGACAAACTGTTATACTGATGTTAATAACTTTAACAATTTATTGTTACATATTCTTGTATTGTTTGATTTGATCGCAGGTTTTGAACCTGTGGGTGGTAGCCAGACAAGTAGGGAACCTAAACCATCCAGCAGTTCGGAATCTGCTAGCACCAAACAGCATGCGGAGGTAAAAGTTGAACCAGTTCAGCAACAACAAGTGCCAGATAGTGGTCCACCTGTAGAACCTGATAAACCTTTGTTGAAGAAAGTATCCGTTGAGGTAATCCAAATATTTTGGTTAATTTGTTCAACATTAGGTTGATTAATAAACTTGAGGTTAAAAATAAACCAGAAATATTAACTTTTGTTAAGTTTAGGTGAAATGATCACCGGAATGTTGTACAACAATTTGTGAATTGGCATTAAACATACATGTATGACTAACCTCCTTTATAATTAAAAAAAAATTGTTGATCTGTATAGGCCCTGTCACACAGACTACTCTTTCACTGTGTTTGCACGGCTTTGTTAGATATATCAAAGCGCTGCAAGATTGCAATAAAAAATGTGATATTTGTTATAACGTTGAAACTTCATGGACTCCTCACGGCGATCATGGCGATGTTATGGAGCTTCCACAGCCTTTTAGTTGGTGATTGTCTACGTTCAGACTGCATTCTTTGCGATTTCATGTCGCTATCGCATGCTGAAAGCGTAAAGCTCTGTAAAAGTGCGGTGCACACGCAGTATAAGCGCAGTAGAGACGCCGCACAATCTCCATACAAGAGCCGTTGATAACCACCGCAATTATTCAGCACTCCTGTTGCGTTGTAGGAGATGCTATTGAGTTGCTATTGTGTCCTTACTGCAATCCCACTGCGCTCTTATCAGAACGCCGAGTGACAGCTTTTGTTTTGAGCATGCTCAAAATGCACCGTAGGTCGGCGTTCTATGTGATGCTACTTTCGATGCTGCGGCGATGTTTGGGATCTTACTGTGCTCACGTCGACATCGTGAATTTTCTTTGGACGCAGTAAGAACGCTGCCCTAGTCTGACAGGGGTTTAAATACTCTGTCTGTCTGTCTTTCATAAAATTTTACTTCTGTGGTGTAATTTTATCTTTTGATAATTTTATATGTTTATGTTAGTGTTCATCAGTGCTCTTCTATAGAAATTAAAAACTTCGACGGGAGCGATAGTGACAGGAGAATGTTTCTAATTTCTGAAGAACAGCTAAGGATGAATACTTACATACTTAGTGTCAAGCTTTATTTGGCTTCCTTACAATTCACTTAGTTACGTCTCTACGGGGTTCTATGAAGTACTATGAAAAATAGAAGGCGACTATGAACAGAATTCGATATAGTATCGACTTGTGTTCTGCTATGAAAATTAACACACATAATTTTGAAGAAATACAGCGTTTTCATTGGATGACAAATAAAGCCGGACACTAATGCAAAAACAAAAGGTCAAATCTGTGTATATGATGTAGAAGCTTCAATGTTTTATATAATGTTTATTGTATAATTAGTTAATCAAGGACTCAGCTAAAGTGTTATTCTGGGAGGTGATAGATGAACTATGTACTGGTATCGGACGGGAAGTGAAACTAGAGGTAGACACCAAACTACAGTTCTCCGTAGATTGTCTAGAATCAATAGTTGGAACTACACTAAAGGAAGATATGAGGTAGATTATAGAACTTTGTTGTTGTCAAGTAAAATTAACATTTACCTTGGTAACAGTAAACCTGGAAAATTTGTATTATTTTATCTTTGGTTTTAAATAAAATTGGTCTATAATGGAAGGTTTGTAATACACTGTACAATAAATAACTTTGTTGATAATATTTAGTATCAGACCTTACAATAAAAACTATTAAAAAAATTATATATAGATGTTGTTGGTAAGTGTGAGATACATGATCCAATATAACTTATCTGTATTTAGCTGATAATAAAATGTTCTACAATTACAGTGTAAATAATTTCATTCACATGTAAATGTTTATACTAAATCACTTACAACTTTCTTCAAATTTTTTTTCCGCAAGAAATATTTTATAAGAATATCCAAATGATTGATTTCTATTGTTTTTATCGATATTTGAATGCCCAATTATAGACTAATCAACTTTAACCTGGTTGAACCAAAAGTCACTAACTTAAGCCCCTACCATAGAGCCTGAATAGTCTACATTTTTGTGCAGTCTAACCAGGCTCTATAGCTCAATTATTTTTTTTATATTGAAATCCCTTAACCTTTGAATGGACTGTTCCAAATTTAAGTCGGGCAAAGCTATTATACAGATTCAATAAGTTATTGGTTATGATACTGGCAAAATGTTGGGGATGAGAACAAACTATACATTATTTACAATAGTTTCATTTTTCATTTACATGTATTTTTAGGACAATATGTGAGGAAACATTTGACGAGGCTCAGGAAGCTAAACGTAAAGCGTTACAGTTAGAGAAGGAGTTAAGACAAGATAGAGTGGCGGAACAGATCACTGATGACATGGTTAGTGATCTCGTACATCAAGAGGCATTAAACCTGGCTACCATTGAAATGAGGTAAAGTATATTAATGTTTGATGTAATTTTTAGCTTGACTATTGAAAGAAAACAGAGCTGTTCTAGTATGGGTAATTTATCGTTTAGATTGGCTGAGCAGTTTAACACCTTATAAACCTTTAAGGGCATTAATATTTAAAAATTTCACATGCCTTCAGTATCATTATTGTTGGTCAATGTCTAAGTGCTGTAACTCTTGAATAGGCTTTCTCTTAAATAATCCCATTGGTTAAGTTGGGAGAACTGCATAGCCCTTGTTTTTTTGTCACATAAGTGGTAGTTTATAAATGATTTCCTCAGAAATAAGAAAAAACTTACATTAAAGAGAAAAGATTTCTCTGTGAAAGCTTGTAAGTTTTTACAGTCACAAATTGTACATAATATTCCCAACAATTGTCAGGAATTTAGTAGTAAAGATGGCCCGATATCATCGATGTTTCGATGAATTGTGATTTTTGCCCTTACAATACTGAAGGTATGGCAACATGGTGCAGCATTCTTATATTGTTTTGCTTAACAGCACTGAAGTTTCAGAAACTTGCAGTTGGTTGTTTTTATTACTTTATGACATATATAAAGCCAGTGGATTGTTATATAAATACTAATTAAGAGCTAGATCTAGTCACTACAATGGTGTAACAAACCTAGTCTGTCCAACCCTTTGTCATCATGCTGCCTAGCTGTCAAACTATCTGTCTGTGGAATGACAAACCAGTGGAATGTGGGGGCACCCATTTCCCATGGACATATTTTTAGTTGCATGGGTGAAATTTTTTCAGGAATTTGCCTGAAAATCAGTGTTGTTTTTCTTGTCTACTCTTAAAAGCTCTCTTTTTCTGTATTAAATCAAATGAAGTAGTTATTAATTCAAGGTTTTTCAGGTTTTCTGATATTTTAAACTTGCACACATATTGTTGATTTTTATTTGCACAGCTATATTTTTATTTCAGAGAGGTGAAAGCCGAGTTAAAGAGACAGTGTATAGAGAGAGTTACTGTAGATGTCAATAAAGATCTTGTTGATGAAGTAATGAAGGAAATGGTTATTGATGTATCAGAGGAAGTGTATGATATAGATGTTATACAAAGACTTAAACAGCTTGATGACTTTGAGAAGTTAGTCAAACTGAGCAGGGCTGGCAGATTTTGGCATAAATGGAAGAAAGAATATAAGGCAGTGACTAAGTTAAAGCGTGCGATGGAGGAATTCCCGTGCGCACCAAACATGCAAAGTAATCAGGAACAGCTGAAACAACTGCTCTGTGTTGATGATGAGAGAATTATTGATAAGAAATTCTATGTGAATAAGAGAGCTAAGCTAACAATAGAGACACCGTTAGAGATAGAGAAACGGAGGAAGGAAACAGAGACACGGGCTCTCGTGCATCGTTTATACAGAAATCTTCTTCATCAGACTGCATGGTCGCCGCTTGATCTCAGTCGTATTATTGGCCAAGAATTGAGAAGAAAGTACAAACCTGGTCAACAGTCAAGTTAGTATTATCATGATAAATATTCTGTTTTAAATGTCTCAAATACCGCCTCCATGGTCAAGGGGTTAGAGTCGATGACTTCTAATCCAGTTACCTCTCTGGCGTGGGTTCGAACCCCGGGAGATGCTTTGGTTTTTTAGCATGGAGGAAGGAAGTCTAGTAGTAGTGTAACTCTCCAGGAACGATGGTTAGGAAACTACCTGCCTATATGACTGAAATACTGTTGGGAAAGGGCGTAAAATGAAACAAACAAACAAATAAATGTCTCAAATTTTGATTGGCTGTAAACACTGTGTACAATGCATCGTAGATAGTTGACTGTGTGTGTGCATAAATTTTAGTATTGCATATTATTCTTAATGACATATTTCTTGATTCAAATATCATTACTTCACAAAAATTGTGAAAAATTACACCATAAGGCCATCCTTAAAAAATGTTTGTTTGCAGTAACGCGACCGACTCACAAAATTTGCCCCTACTCAAAATATTTTTTCATGGTCTGGATAAAAAAAATTTTTTTTTGAATCAGAAAATTATGCCTTGTGCTTTGTTTTCGTTCTTTTAAAGGTTAATAGAAGAAATAAAATGTAGGTCTTATTAAATTAGAATTCAGTTATCAATTTATTAATTGTTACCAGATTATCAAAGCATACTGGTTTCCTAGCAGTTTCCGGCCACAAATCGCACTTTTTAACAAATGAAATAAAAATCAGTCTACGGAGGGGTACAAAACTTTGACAGGACAAAGTTAGGTACCTGTCCAGCTTTGCCATGTGCTTAATGTTGCACTTTCATTTTACTTTTTAATTCATAGCAGTTTTCCGTACCTTTTTTATTTTGAATATATTTCAGTACCATAAAGCAATGTTAAGATGGTTTTACAAGACAAACAGAACTTCCCAACCTTTTCCGTGTCGTCTCCAACAATATTTTCCGAAGTATTGATTTACCTAAAATGGGGTCTTAGTTATTGAGCATGGATATGCAAACCAGAATTCCCCAGGTGTTACTTATTTTTGAAAGTCGCAAGTTCTCTACAGTATGTAACTTTAAATAACAGACAAAACTTCAAAACATATAAATTGTTGTACTATTTTAAATGCTGTTTAGCATTGAAAACAAAAGTCTCTCTGATTGACGAAGTAATGTGGATGCCTTACTGGTAAAAATAGACTGTACTGGGCGAAGATGATAAACGGCCGGAAAACTGTTAGGGGACAGAAACCGCTAGGAAACCAGTATATTGTCCAGCATTTTGAAATTCCATGTTTATTTGGGAGTACAGTTCAATAAAAAAATAAAAATCGACCTACCTACCCACCTTGAAAATTCTGGGTCAGGTTACTGCAAACAAATATTTTTTTAAGGATGGCCTAATGGTGACTTGAAGTCAGTTCATACTTGAATTAATTTTTATGTACAAAGTTAATGATGATATTATTATTACTTGCATTCTTGTAATACATTTTCAGTGGTCAAAAGACACTGCTCACTAAAAATGACTAATGAAAACTGTTGCATACAATATTTTTTTCTAAATTTTATCATTCCCTATCTAAGTCAAAATATTAATCATATATACGTACTATTTAAACTTTTTTAGATCAACTATTCGATTTAGAATTTTGACAGAATTATGCCCCTTTTTTGACTTAGAATTTACGTTAAAGTTTTTGTAATACCTCAAATATTTTCAAAGTCCATTGACATATGGCTTTAACTTTGCACACTTGTTCACCATCATGACCCCAACCTGTAGACAGGAGGAGGTAACTGTATCAAGCATTTTGACAGAATTATGCCCCTTTTTCTACTTAAAATTTACGTGAAAATTTTTGCAATACCTCAAATATTTTCAAAGATGATGGCTTTAAAACAACTCTTCTTTGTGAGCATAATAGGACTCTCTCCAAGGCCTATAACTGTAGTATGGAGTTAAAGAAAAAATTTGCCCTTTACTTTACTTAGAAAATTTTACATTATCAAGGCTTTTTTACTATCACTAAGAATAGTCGAGCGTTGCTGTGCTACCTACAGCTCTTGTTTGATATGTAAACTTTTACAAAGAATATAAACTGAAGTTTTTATTTTACAGACACGTTGAAAACAAGCAAATTATTTTGGAAGTTGTTGTTGTGTTTACCCGATGTTGATGACAGTAGAGCCAGCAGCCAATCAGAGGCAGCCACATATAATCTGTGTAAATGGCTGAAAGTGAGGCTCTCTAAAGGTCCTGTACCAACTTCTCAACGTGATGTTAAGGTTAGTATTGTCTAGGGCTTCACTCTGGTTAGATATCAAGGGAAACAGGTGGATTGATTGATAAAATACATATCTAGGCCTGCATATTACCATCTTCTTGCCCTTCATCCACTGTGTAGAATCCTGAACCCTGCAATAAGTAAATAATTGCCTACACAAGGTTAATTTAGTGAGACTTACTGTTTGTGTAGGATCAGGCATGTCACATTATCATTGTTTTCTCAGGTCAAAATTCTGGTTGCTATAGCAATGGAAAAAGTCAATATGGAACCTTTATTATAATTTTCAGCTTTGAATTTGTTTTGTAGTTTAGGCAAATGTATCTGAAACAAGCAATGTTTATTTTCAGGGAGAAGTTTTGAGTTTATACAAGTGTCATATGTCACAGAGCTCCAGCTATAAACCAATGAGTGTGAATGTATGTGTGAGGACAGTAGAAGGTCAGTTAGAAGATGATGATATAGCTATAATAGAGGAGAATACACTCTTCCTGGGAACCAGTGCACTATTGTTTCTACTACCTGCTGGTGCCCCTTTCAACAAGTCAGATTCTGTAAGTATAGTGATGCTGTTAGGTTATAGAGATACTTTTCCAGGGAAGCAATACTCCATCATGTTTTGTGATACTTTTGTGTGATTATCAAATTAGATTTTACAGCCAGAAGAAGATTTGACATATTTTATAAGATTTGTTAGATTGATAGGTTGTTCCTGACAGTATCATATATATTAGCTAACTGACGTTTTGAGTAATAGTAGTTTAGAAAGCTCCCTTCTGTTAAAAATTTCTAAATTAGAAATAGACTTCCTTAAGAATGTCAAAAACAACTATATTGAAAATGCTGAAGGCTCAATTTGATTGAGCCTGTTCGTGAATAGTACTGTAATGTTCAAGTTATTGTCCACTCCCCCTAGCACAAGCTTTAGCAGAATTCAGCATTTCGTAATTCATGAATATTAACATACTCATCCTGACAATGATGTAACACGTGTTTCTTGTTTTGTTAGAAACCTTCTATCTCACCAGTTATTCCCCTTTGTTAATTTAGTGTATATTTGGTTAAGATATGGTGTGAAAGATAAATTATCACAAGAAGTGAAGGTATAATAATAGATATATACATCTGTCTGGTATAACTTAAGAATTTATTTAAACATTTGCTAAATGAAATAATAAACCTAATATCATATATTTATGTTCTAGGTAAGGTACGATACATATTGGACAGCGCAACACTTCAGATTAAAGGCAATCCTTGATGTGAAACCTAGATATCAGGCATTCCCATTGGTTGTTGTGCTTCCAGTGTCAGCCAATCAGATCGTGTCTCTTATACAGATAGTTGAATATTTATCATTAGAGGAGTTTCTGGATGAGGAATTATTGAGTGATGTAGAACTGGTAACATATCAGCTCAACGAGAATAGACCAGATGCCATAGATCTCACTGATCCTAAAATAAGTGAAGAGGTAAAAAATATAATTCTAACATGCTTCACATTGTTCCCTCATTCAAACAGATAGGACTGTCAAGTGCATTATAACATGATACATGCATGCCTGCATGGCATTAAAAGGGCATGCTTACATGTTGTATGATTCCGCCTCCGTGGTCGAGGGGTTAGAGTCGATGACTTCTAACCCAGTTACCTCTCTGGCGAGGGTTTGATCCCCAGGAGATGCTTTGGTAGTTTAGCGCGGAGGAAGGTAGTCTAGTACTGGTATAACTCTCGAGGAACGATGGTTAGGAAACTACCTGCCTATATGACTGAAATACTGTTGAAAAAAGGCGTAAAATGAAACAAACAAACAAACACATGATATGACGTCAATAAACCAAATGATGTCAGGAAAATTACTTCTATGCTTATTGTAGTTCAGCATATTTTTATCAATTCTCTTTTTATAAGCATGTTAGAATGGAAATAGATATTCATTTTTCTTGCATTGTAGTATTATTATGCACAGTGTATCGTTTAAATGCTTTGTAATTAATCACTCTGGTCTATTGGCCTTTATGATGATATTCTTGCGCATTTGAACTCAAATGCATTTTACACCAATGCACTCAAAATTAATATCTATACTGGAGTCCAAAAATAGCCAAACAGTTCTGGAACAAGTTCCAAAATGAAACAATTTATTTATATCAGATCAGTTTCAAATTTGACTTTCTTATCAGAGGACTAATTTTGAAATACAGGTTTTATGATTTTGATGCCTTATTTGAGTTGTGCCTCATTTTTTCTCTTTGAGCATATTTTATTATCCCCCGCCGAAAAATTTCGGCGGAGGATATAGAAATAGTCTCCGTCCGTCCTTCCGTCCGTCCTTCCGTCCGACATTTTTGTCCGGAGCATATCTCTAAAAGTATTTGAGTTATCAACTTGAAACTTCATAGGTGGATAGACCTCATTGAGGAGGAGTGCAGTGCAGAAGAATGATAACTCTACCTTGCATGATTTTTGAGTTATTGCCCTTTGTTATTTTCAAAATTGATTTTTGTCCAGAGCATAACTCCAAAAGCCTATGAGATATTAACATGAAACTTCATAGGTGCATAGATCTCACTCAGGAGGTGTGCAGTGCACAAGAATGATAACTCTACCTTTCATAATTTTTGAGTTATTGCCCTTTGTTATTTTTCATACCTAATTTTTCACCCGAGTGGAGCATAACTCAAAAAGTGTTTGAGATATCAACATGAAATGTCATAGGTGGATAGATCTTATTGAGGAGGAATGTTGTGCGCAAGAATGATAACTCTTCCCTATACAATTTTTGAGTTATTGCACTTTTTTTTTTTTTCATGCTATTTTGTCCAGAGCTTATCTCAAAAAGTATTTGAGGTATCAACTTTAAACTTCAAAGGTGGATCAGAGATCTGCCGAGGACGCGATTTTGCGCCATTGGCGCTAAAAAAATGAGAATGCCGCAGGCAAATCGGCAGCAAAGGGCCATGGGCGCATCTAAAATCTGTGCCAGACTTATAAGAAAACAAAAACTGTCTGCTGGGTTATTTAGTCACCCAGTCAAAACTGGTACCAACAGCAACATGTTACCCGTGCTCCTGTAATTACGCATATTCTTGAGTTTATCCATTCCCCTATAGCTTTTGTCCGTGTTATCTACTTACCGCATTTCTTCTCATAATCCCTTTCCCACACAGATACTCATTTCTACTACCATAAATTTAATCCAATAAAACAAACAAACAAATTATACAACTACTTAATATTTAAGATAATTATCGGTAACTGAAAAAAAAGTGTTGCTATTTTAAGAAATGCTGCAAGTTACAGTATAATCTGACAGGTGTTCAACTTGATCAACCCTAAGGTCACTCAAGTTCACGCAAGTTTTGGCTGATGAAGTGTAAAAAAAGATGTATATTTCGTCATCAAAATATTTGACAGGTTGATTAACCAATCAGAGATTGAGAAACATTGTGCATGATTTTTTTCATGATCAAAAGGTCTGTCGGCAAATGTCTTTGATGTATGCTGTCTACACAGAGGCATACAAGGGGCAATAAAATTCGTCAATATACAGTGGTAAGGGACATTTGGTGCAAAGTAGGAACAATTAAATGGATAATGCACAATATAAGACATTACAAGTAAGAACCAGCAATTATGTGAATAAATTTGCATATCAAATTTTTGAGCAGCCATTTAAAAAATATTTTGCCTGCAATTAATATTAGTTAGAAAGTTGCCATGTAGGCATAATTTTTAATTATTGGTTAAGTACTGAATTATAAGTGAACCACTTGTCATAAAATATGATTTAAGTTTTATTACTAGGGAAATTCAATTATCTACAAACTTTTTAACAGTTATTTTGGTCAATGTTTACTTATTTTCCCAAGGCCCATACTTTGGTAAAAATGGCCCATCATTTTAAGACCAAGTGGGCCCAGGGCCCAGTACTTTCAAATTCTTGGCAGATCTCTGGTGGATGGATCTCATTGAGGAGAAGTGCAGTGCTTAAGAATGATAACTCTACCCTGCATTATTTTTGAGTTATTGCCCTTTGTTATTTTTCAAAATTAATTTTTGTCCAGAACATAACTCAAAAAGCCTTTGAGATATCAAAATGAAACTTCATAGGTGCATAGATCTCTGACTCAGGAGGTGTGCACTGCACAAGAATGATAACTCTACCTTTTATAATTTTTGAGTTATTGCCCTTTGTTCTTTTTCATACTTTAATTTTTTCTCAAAAAGTATTTGAGGTATCGACTTGAAACTTCATAGGTGGATAGATTTTACTGAGGAGGGATGCAGCACACAATAATGATAACCTACCCTGCATTATTTTTCAGTAATTGCCCTTTGTTATTTTCAGCCATCAGTATTCACATAGGTTTCAAATCTGTAATCACTATAGCCATCAGTTTTCATTACCAAAAGACCTCTTAAAATAGAATTATTCCGCTCTACTACATATACATTCTTCCAATGAGCAAACACATTCGGCGGGGGATGGCCATGTTGACATGGCTCTTGTTTCACTTGAAACACTTGAGATTATACAATAAGTTTCAGCAAATCTGTTCTTAAACGATTGAAAACTGATAATGTCACACAAGATTTAGCTATAGAGAATCAGTCTTTTCAGTTTTATTTTGATTCATTTAAGGCTTTCTTCATTTTCTGATTTATTTCAAAAGAGTAAAGTATGGCAAGAAAATGCTTAATTTACTTTCATAAAATGATGATACTTATATTGAATTGGAATTTAGAATTTTTTTTATATGTTTTGTATATAGTTATGTGAAGGTATACAGTGGTTGGCAAGGAAAACTAGGCCGGCCCCCAGCCTTACCGTACAATATTTCAAGGACGTTGTTGACTTGACCCTACATAAACATTACTATACACCAGTACAACATAACTTGAAGAAGAGGAAAGATTTAAACAGACTTGATAAGGTGAGTTAATTTATTATGTAGATTATACAAGGTGGTTCAATGGAATCTTTAATTCTGTCAATTTTCATTTGAGACAATTAATTTTTTTTTATTGTATGAAATATTGATATAATGGTCATTATAGCGACTATAACAGCATAATGTGTTTACATCATAGGTTTAAGGTAACAAAACATAAGATTAACTTAAAGAAGCTCCACAGAGGTTAAAGTGCCTTAAAAGATAAAATTTGAAATTCTTTTATAGATCAAGTAATGCACTAAAAAAGGTAAAATCTGCAAAAGATAATACAGGAATATTTTCAGAATTAAAATAAAAATTGATTTTTTGCATGAATTTAAGCGCTGCCCAATTTGAGTGAAAAGCGCTGCAACGCTTTTCATTTTTTGACCATTTTGTACAATAGAAATAATGATAATGGGAAAATGGAATGAGGCATATGAAATTTTGTACACAAGATACATCAAATGGTACACAAGTCTTGAAAAAATATTTCCAGTCCCTTCATGCCAAAAAAAAACAACAGTTGGAGACCCTTTTAATGCTGCCATTGAGTTACATTTAAAATTAATTGTTAAATAGAGGATATTGAATGAGTATAGGTTTCATACTAAATTTATTGAACAAGTTGAATAAAATCATATGCGAGCCTCTAGGGAGCATAAAATTGTTTTAGGAGTTCAATAAATTTAGTATTGAATCTACACAAATATAATATTCTATTTATCAAATAAATAAAATAAGAACGGTAAACTGTTAACAAAGAGTCATTTTTCTTTGACGCGCCTATAGTGTAACGCTTACATTAGCATGCTTTAATGCTATGTTTATAGCGCAAATGTCGTGCGTCAAAGTGTTATTACACTAGTGTAATATCGTCTAGTGTAATATCGTTTTTATTAAATGGCTTTATTACACTCCTGCGCCGACGTTTATGTTGTATAGTTTTATGTTGTCCACTATATAGAGATTTAAGAATCAAATACAAAATGCCATACTGTTTTCTAAATCTAAATAAGTTTTATAGAGTAATGGCAAATTTTTAAGGGATGCATGTGATAGAATTCAAACACAGTATATCAGGCATATATGGATTTTGTTAGACAGTGTCTTCCAATTGTAATATATATCTTTGTTTGAAAATTTTGGAAAAAAATATTGTTTAAACTATAAACACAATATATGTTTTGCTATGTATATTATTATATGCAGCATTTTTTTTGCTATATTTATTATTGTGTGGTCGCCTTTATGAATAGTTATGTTTGTTTTACCAATTGCTGAATTTCTAATAAAATTTTTAATGTTGATATTATTACAGGATGCGAACAGTTTACTGTTGTTATATAACACAGTTATCTCCCATCTCGTCGAAGTTCTAACATCTGACACATTATACAAGGTGTCCTGGCCAGTCGCTGAGTTTACCAGTAATCTTACTACAGGTATATTATATTATTAGTTCAGTTATGTTTTCTTACTTAATAAAGCAGAGGCCTGAGCCTCTTGATTTTGGGAAAAATTATTGCTAAAATTACTAATTTGGGAAGTAAAAAAGCAAATTTAATTCAGATTTTTTGGAAAACTGCATGATTTTGAAGAAAATTTCAATTGGGAAGAGGCCTTTTATCGGAGTCTGTTATATAAGTAGAAAAATCACTGTAGTTATACAGATTTTTACAGGTTATATGACCCTATATGAATGTTTTTTTGGAAATATAACCCGAGCCGCTATTAAAAAATAAATTAATGATAAGAACACAGTGAATGGAAACTTTCTACTCAAAATCAAATTGTTTGGCACTAAATGTGGCAAATGATTTGTGGCAAAACATTTTGTATATGTGTACTATATGATAGTCTTTTATTGATGTTTAGAGAATAGGGAACTGTAGAATTAACTGCTGACTATTCTTCCATCTGTCTAGCTGTCTGTTTAAATCTTATGTTAATAAAAAATTGGCAAGAGATTTTACATTTTGTTTAATCCTTCCCTCAAATTTCTTGTTGCTATGGTTATAGCAATACTCAAAGGACATTGGTCATCTATGGGTTGTGGGTTCAATCATTGGGTATGGAGAAATTTCTCTGTGATAATTGATCTCAAAGATTTTGTCAAATAATCATTTGTCTCTCACTACTGATTCAGAAATCTTGAGGGGTTAGTAGAATGTCACTTCACCAGAAATTGGTTATTACTGGCTAGATATTTATCTCACAATTTATTCAATAATAATAATAACACTGCTTTAATATATTCAATAAAATAAATAATGTGCTACCCATAAATCAGACTCAGTACTGTTTTCTTTTCACAGATTTGCCTCCAAATCACTGGAACAAGGGAGATCACCTGGAATATTTGTTCAACATAGTTGACTCCCTTAGATTACCAAAACTTGAGTTTGAAAACCCAGATAATGATGAATGGTTTGAAATAAAGAGAGATCTGTGGAAATTTGTGTCATCATTTGCTGGTAGAGATTATAGTGGAGCCAGAATTAAATTGTTTTCCAGGTAATTGTTTTTATGACATAATTTACAGTAAATTACTGAAAAATTGCTGGGAATTATTTTTTTCATGATTTTTAAACTAAATTACATTTTAATGTGGAAAAAGCGCTTATTCTTAATGGACAGAAATTTCATCATACATTTCATCATCAAGTACTTACACTTTATAATTATCCGCACGAAAATATTTTTTGCTCTTTATGTTATAATGTAATTAAACTCTACAAATCTTACAGGATTTTTTTTCCAGCTTAGATATTTTGATATGCTAATATGATAATAAAGTCATGAATGAGAGCTTGGAACAAGGCATATATCAGTGATATTTTGATAGTTTAGTCATATAACCTTATACATTTTTCTTAACCATTCCGGGAACCAAACCCAGTAATGAGCATTAATAAAAAGGTTTTTCTCAAAGACAAGAACTTGCAAGAGGGGGTTTTAAACCCATGGGCCAGCAATCTTGAGTGCATTTTAAACCTGTTAACCCATCCCCCATCCCCCCCTTTGAAAGTTTTTTTTTAAAAAAAATGAAATACATTTCCTATTTAAATACAGGAATATAATTCTCACAGATACAGCATTGTTTAGGGTTAGACATACTTTTAGGGACAGGTAAAGCAGTTAATTTATAGTTTATCGACCGCCTCTGTGGTCGAGGGGTTAGAGTCAATGACTTCTAATCCAGTTAACTCTCTGGTGTGGGTTCGATTCCCGGGAGATGCTTTAGTAGTTTAACGCGGTGGAAGATAGTCTAGTACTGGTGTAACTCTTCAGGAATGATGGTTAGGAAACTACCCGCCTATATGACTGAAATACTGGTGGTTAAAGGCGTAAAATGAAACAAACAAACAAACAAACGTTAAGAGTTTATCTGTTTAGATTATACAGCATAATGTTACTAAAGAAATTCAAAGGAATATCTAATGACTTATATTCTTTGCATAGAACACAGCTTTGTGTAACTATGACAACACACGAAGATTTTATGAAATACTAGAGAAAAAACGTTTTACTTTACAGATTGAAGAATTTGATACATAAATTAGAAGTTGACTTTGGCGGAGGCGTGTTATTTCCAGTTTGGAGAGTCTGATTGTCAGCCGACATTCTACAATGTTCCATGGAGTACAGTTATCTCCCTTTGTATAGATTATAAACTAGACAGTGTAGATCTGATCGATCCAGATTCACAAAATCCACAGGTACCTGGCATGCGTGCTATGATATTTGAACTAGTAATCTAAATGGCCTCGTTTTAAAGATAATTATTAACTCCAAATGAAGAAAAGTTCAATTATAATTTCCCCCAAATTTGGTATAACATATCATGCATGTTTTATCTAACTTCATTATAAACATACAAATTATTTTGCATAGAATAATATAAACACGATATAATCATAAGATCCTTTTATTAAATGACTACCAATTTCTCCGTGTTGCGATTGATGGTCAATAGTAAGTAATATGTACTTGGGGGCTATTTATCAAAACAAACTAAGTCATAAACAATGGCACCAAAGTTAACCATCTATTATTAGAAACCAAACTGATTTTACCGTATGTAGTACTATCTGACCAACCAAAAACAATGTTACTTATTCAAACATCGTGTGTAATTTACAGAATCGGTCAGTGTTTCTCTCTGTCAAAAATACATGGATAAACTTGAAACATTTTAATGAGCTTACTGATGAACATTTACCTGCTTTAGAATGGAATCAAATGAGAAAATAGGAAATCAACTTCTATGCTTTATGACAGATTACGTGTATTTACGGCTTGTTTGCGTGAAAAATGAAATCGGAAAACTTTGAGAAGAATTATAATTTGGTCAAATAATTAGTTATTGTATGAAGATTATGGTAAATGTCCAAATCTATGGACCTTGCTAATCTGATATTCTGCTTGGCCTTTGGTCTGGGCTAATATCACATTAGGCAGGTCCATAGACTGGGATATTCACCTTATCATCATACATGATTGTATAATTTTTAGCTCGACTATTCGATAAGAATAAGTAGAGCTATTGTAGTCACCCGAGCGTCGGCGTAACCACTTATGTTAAAGTTTTTGTAATAGTTCAAATATTTTCAAAGTCCATTGACATAAGGCTTTGAAACTTTGCACACTTGTTCACCATCATGACCCCAACCTGTACACAGGAGGAGGTAACTCTATCAAGCATTTTGACAGAATTATGCCCCTTTTTCGACTTAGAATTTACGTTAAAGTTTTTGTAATAGTTCAAATATTTTCAAAGTCCATTGACATATGGCTTTGAAACTTTGCACACTTGTTCACCATCATGACCCAAACCTGTAAACAGGAGGAGGTAACTGTATTAAGCATTTTTTTTTACTATCAAGCACTAAGAATAGTCGAGCGTTGCTGTCCTACCGACAGCTCTTGTATACTGTACAAAATTCATAAAACTAAGAAGATAAAAAAATAGCCCACACTCTTTCTTCCCTTTTAATATGTTAATAACTACTATATTTTTTTACACACCAATAGCTTACATGATTCTTTTCTTAAAATAAAGAAGCTAAGTTCTACACTAAACCAAATTTCAATAACCATTATTGTTGTTGTTTTTATTTACACAGGAGAAAAATGAATTGAAAGTTGCTTACATCAAAAAAGAAATGGAAGGATTTATTCCACCAGCATCATGGACACATATAGAAGCTGACAGCAGTGTACTAGGTATGTTTATTATTACTTTGAAGTGCACTAAAGGTGCACATGTAGTGCGCACCAAGTGCACTTTATGTAACCTTCTGTGTGGACTTGACTGTCAATATATTTATATATAGAAATACTCAATTTTTTTTAAGTAATTAATGTTGTTGTGTGTTTTTTTGCCTACAAAGACATTCTTTTAATGTGATATTTATTCTCATATTCTTACTGTGTAATTATGAATATCTTATTGTTATTTTAGAGATTGTTCAAAGGAAAATGTTGTTTGTATGATATACTTTATGATAAACTAACTAATTAAATTCATAATTAGGACAGTTACTTTTTTACTTATTTCACTTTTCATCAATTCAGAATCACCCAGTCTTGAAGATACTATTCAGAATGCAGTATTTAAGGTTCAAGAAGAAAGGAAACAATTGGAGACTAAAGTGGAGGTATCTATAACAGAAGATCTCGCCAATGTTTCCGTAGTTACCATGGGCACCAAGAAAACATCAGGCACATTGACCAAGTCGCTGAAGTCTGAGAGAAGACACTCGGATCATTTCCAGAAATATTTGGAAAATGCACTGAAAGACATAGATCCCGAGTTAGACTCTTCCCTTACAGGAAGTACTTCCGTAACTGGAAGCGCGTCCTTTTCTGTTTTTGAAAGTCGGAATGAATCTTTTGGTTCAGGAAACTTCTTTTCATCGTCAAATGAGAGACGATTTAGTTTTGATCCTTCAGCCAATCAAAAAAGACTTAGTTTTGATGCAACTTCTTATTTCAACCAATCACAAAATGACATTTCATCTATATTTGCTTCCCAATCAGAAGGGAGACTACCCTTACCTCCTAATCGTAGAAAGTCCGATATTGGTTTACAAGAGTTGTCTGTCCTACCAGGAAAGAAGAGACGACAAAGATTATCAGAGATCTACGACAACGACCGAGTTATGATGTATATAAAAGAACCTACTTTGAGTGAAGACGCTAAAAACTTGAAGGAAAATTTGAGGTCCAGCAGAAGGGAAAGTGATTTGTTCGAGAAGAAACTAAGACTCTTGATGCAGAGTAATCCAGAAACTTTCTGAACTTTATTTGCAAAAATTAACAATAGCAGTGTTAATAGAGAAGTACAAAAAATGATGTTTGAATAATAATTGACATATCTAAAAGTTGTGTACACTGCATTATGTTAAAGTACCAATTGGAAAATAATAGTTACTGTTTATTCACCAATAAGATAAATCATGGTATTTAAAGGGAACAAAATTAAAAGTCTTTGTTTCTAATGTAATATTCTAATTGTACTATTGTAACATATATCTATGTTTTGAAAATATATGAAATGTTTAATAATGTTATATTTAGACACAGCGTATATGCAATAACAATAAAAATGAACATCGTAACTTTAATAAAAAATTTCTTGTAATAAAGTTATCCACAATGGCATGATTATTATGTATTGCTTATTTTTTATGCCCCCCGGGCATATAGTAATTGAACCGTCTGTCCGTACAAGGTTAACCTAAAGCAAGTTGGATTTTTCTATCTATACCAATGACTTCATACTTCACACACTTATCAACACAATGTTCATGATCTGGGCAAGTTACAAAACTATTGCTTCTATTTTTACCAAGTTATTGCCCTTTTCAGCACTTGGAAAATGAATAATTGGTTAACCAAAAACGGCAAGTTGGATTTATCTTAAGTTCTATCTATACTAATAGCTTCATAATTACCACACTTACTTATCAATACAAAGTATATGATATTGCCAAGTTATATAACTGTGCCATCCATTTTCCCAGTTTTTTCCCCTTTTATCACTTTGAAAATAGGGCAAGTTAAGGTTAACCTATTCTGGCAAGTTGAATTTATCTTAATTTCTCCTAATTACTTCATTTATTTAATGATATCTTTCAGACTTGGTAGGTGGATACCTTGATTTAATGATATCTTTCATATTTGGTATGTGGATACCTTGCATGGTCCTCTAAATTTTTATGAAGATAGGGGTCCCTAGGATCAAGGTCACTTGTGTAGAAAAAAAAATTAAACAGTTTTGCTTATACAGCCTTTATTAGTTCAGGATGAGCTATTAGTATCAAAGGAGGATGCTCCGTCGTCCTGCGTCAACAAGTGTCTTCTCTGAAACTGTTGGGCAGATTTACTTCAAATTTGGTCCCTAGCATCCTTGTGACAGTCACACTTGAATTTGCTCATGTCATTTCAATTGGCCCCTTTGTTACCAGATTAACTAAATCAATGCGAGAAAAAACGAAGAGTGGCCGGCTATCGGGCTTTTTTTTTTCTTCAGAAATTGAGATAAGAATGTGATCGCTTTATTTCTCGCTTCATTTCCACAAATGAGGCCTGCAAACATTTAACGTTTCAGACACCTAGAGCACTATAAAGAAAGACTTTCAGAAAGAATGACGCTTGTTATATCATGTATTTATCACATAAACCGCGGCGCAGGAGTGTAATAAAGTCATTTATCACAAACCCGTGCCGATTTTGCGACTCCGTAAAAACGGTATTGCATGGTCGTGCATATATTTTGATGTGACGTCATTTGGGTAATATAAACATAACGTAGACGTGCTAAATGTAAGCGTTATACTATGGGCGTGTCAATGAAAAATGTTTCTTTATCACTTCAAATGGTCTTTATTTTATGTATGTGATAAATAGAATATTAAATTTGTGTAAGTTCATTACTAAATTTATTGAACTCGTTGAATAAAATTATATTATGCAAGCCTCTGGCGAGCATAATATTATTTTATTCAACGAGTTCAATAAATTCAGTATTAAACTTACACTCATTCAATATCCTCTATGTAATAAAAACGATATTACACTAGTATAATAACACTTTGACCTGACGTCATTTGCGCTATATATAGAGAATAACATGCTACTGTCTTTTGATATCAATTTTATCAGGCGAGGCTGATATGGGCTAGAAAGGGCGAGGCTTGCCGAGCCCTTTCTGCACATATCAGCCGAGCCTGATAAAATTGATATCAAAAGACAGTAGCATGTTTTTCTATTTATCATGCAACACATAATAACTCTCAAAATAACAAAATAATCTACTTTTAAATAGCGAATTTCGTTAAAAAGGGGAATTTTTGTTCAAAGAAATAATTCTTGAAAACAAATTCCTCCGCCCCTGACAGTTAGAATTTGTAATTGGCGGCCAATTTTTCTTTCGACTCGGATAAAAGATACAACAGAATGTAGGCCTAATACGATAACATTCTTACCTTTAATTTAAACATCGATCCAAAAATCCGCTTAGAATCACACAAACTAAACTTTACTGCAATTTTTGTCTTGAATTGTCAAATTCAAAAGTTCACGATACTGTAATTTCAATCAAAGAAAAGTCAAATCGGCAATCAAACACAAGCTACACAAACATGCGTCTTATTTTCTAAACGAAACAATTTGTTCACTTATTAAATAATAATCCGGCGAAATAAAGTAAACAT